TCAACCACAGGAGGAACGGACGAGGAGGTCAAATCGAGAATCGGGAAGGCAGGAAACACATTCATCAATATGAAACCAATCTGGAAATCTTCGTCACTCAGCCAGCATCAACAACAAAATTCGGTTGGATTTTCAATACAAACGTCAAGTCAGTCAGTTCTTCTATACGGATCAGAAACTTGGTGGGTGACAAAGAATATTTCCAACAGCCTGTTGCAGACATTTATCGACAACTGTCTTCGCTCTCCGCTGAAGATCAGATAGCCGGGAAGAACCACCAACAAGAAACTGTGGGAACAGATAAAACAAGAAACAATCGCCCAACAAATATGCAGGAGAAAGTGGAGATGGATTGGACACTCGTTGGGAGGCCGGTTGGTGACATCGCGCGTCAGGCCATTGTTCGAGTGGAACCCGAAAGGGATGAGGCGAGTGGGACGTCAGTGCAAGGGTGACATGGAGGAGATCGTGTGAAGAGGAGTTGAGAGAGTATGGGCTAAGATAGATGCAGGTGAAAAGTACAGCAGAAGACAGAACAAGCGGAGACGTGCTGTAGAAGCCCTATGTTCCACTGGGAACCCAAGTGAACAATAATAATAATTTTAGAATCAACCACCACCAACAATTCATCTAGAAGTGCTGCCTGCCTACGAAGAAACTGCAGTGAACATTAACTCTCTTGAAAAGTCTGAAGTCGTAAATGGCATAAAGTTAATAAAAGAAGGCGGATTAGAGAAACCAGATGGAATCACACTCCCCCCAGTGGCACTGCAAACTGATGGAATGACACAAGAGTATATTTCCTCACTACTACTGAAGAAGGTATGCACGGAAGGAAAACCATCCTGCCTTGCCGATTCATGAGTTGAGCCTAAACAGGTTTAATACTTATTTCTACTTCCAGCGAGATATTATCTTGAATCATTCTAAAGCGACTGCACTTAAAACAATTTGGATGATGGACGAGCAAGTTATGTGCGGGACGAATTGCAACGCGGGGAGCATAGCACACGGTGGCATTAATCTCTGCACCTCAACACCATCATCAATGTAAGAAAGGCCTTTGATAGAGTCAACCACCAAGTGGTTTGAAAACCTTCGGTATCAGATAAGTTTATTTTAAAGATCTCCCTGCGACTTAGTATTAACATTGTATCAGAGTAACACTGAGGGGAATATGTGGAACTTGTGAACAGTCTTAGATCCAGCGGAGAAGACAGCAGAGACTAGAATACAGCGTCGGCAATGCTATTGAGGTGGGGAAGTAGCGAACAACATCTGCTAGATAGACCTTTAGCTGGCGGTTCGCAAAAGTAGCAGAAATCTGATATCCTGAAGGCCTTCGGAAGTATGTTTAAAGGCTTTATATTTTTCACTATCTGTACAATGAATATCACGAAATTAAGCATACACTAAACACATCTGATTGCTTCCATTACCGAGTGCTAAGTAATAACACAACACTGTTGTGGCCTATGTTCAGAACAATCAGAAGACATGACCAGATGTCCAAGATGTCAGAAATAACTGTCTACCTGAAAAATATTCATGTTTTCGGAAGTATGAGCTCGAAGAAATGTGTTGCAGAAGTGATGGGCAAGCTGAATTTCGCGACTGAAATCTCGGCATCCAGGTACTGAAGAACGGCAACGGAAAATTTTCACCAACATTTGCGACATGGGCACTACAACCAACCCACTGTCCCAGCATATGGTACAGCATCAGTAGAAATAGCATTGCTCGACGGAAACGAGCAAAAAGAAGTCAAATTGTTTCGTACTATCTCGTAAAGACGCAATCGGATATTGGATATTGCCATTAAGTTGTTTTTTTGTGTCAAAATACATTGGTCGCACAGCAAGTACTAACGCGGCTTACATGTCCATTGGCGCGACGATGTAAGTCTTTTGCTCGTTGTGATGAGACGTTTATTGCCTTTAGAGAGATTTCTTAGATTGAACTTTCTCATATGAAATCACTTTAAAAATTTCCTTATCTTTTTTGTGCACTACATATGATTTCAGGAGGTGTGAATTTTTTTGTCCCCTTCAGTTCAGAAAAATGAACATACCGGTTATCATTCACCAATGTTAACATTATAGGGTTATATGAATTATCAGTGTGTAGTCCTAAGTATTAGTAATGCAAAATATTTCAACGGAAATCAGGCAATATTCTAAGCGGAATACATGTGCTGTCCAAATATAAATTCAAGAAATATATATTTATATATATATCGTAGCATATGCTACGATGATATTTTGGTTCTGTGACAGGCTCGTAAGTTAGTCTAAGGCTTACCGTTAACCAGAAAGCTTCGGTTTTCTCCATTCGATTGATTCTTATTTAAAGTAATATACATCTGCAGTAAAGTGTTTTCACATGTATGAATGCATTTCTACTGAAAATTCTGAATTAGTTATAAGTTGTCAGTTTATCCTTGTAAACCGTCGTATAGAACGAAAAGAGATAGTAGGTGCCTGAGTTAATTTTGAATATAGTCATTAGTGACCCTGGAAATTACATTAAGGCCTACTCAAATCGTATTTTCAATAATAGTGCTTCCAAAGTGGTGGCTACTTGTCCAAAATAGTTGATCAATACTGAAAGACCTAGTTTCTCATCACTGCTGCGGCAGATACATGTGATTCACCTTGAGTACTGCTGTTTCTCAATATAAATAATTGAAACTTCTATTTTACCATCAGTTGTATTTGGTTGTCTGTCTTATTCTGTACAAATAAAGGTGTCGCTAAGTTGAAAATTATTTCTGAAAAGTATGTTCGGAAATAATATCAGGTATTCGAACATAGTTGATTGAAAAATCGCAATCTGCGTTTTGATAGTCCCTAAAGGTGGTCGTGTAACAAAGACTTTTCTCAGGCTAGTCTGTAGACTTATTCCGTGCTCAACAGTATGTGATTTTGGTTGATATCACATTCGAATTCTGATTTTCATCCTTAAAAAACTGGTTTAAGATAATATAAAAACCGTGAGTGTTGCCAACTTCTACTCAGCATTAAATCCGTGGTCACTTTATGCTTGATTTTTATGGATAAATCACTAAGTATTTCTGCCGTTCTTCAACAAGTTGTAGCAGTGTTAATAATTCTAAATGGCCTCAAGCTAATATGCGGTAGAAAATTCAGAGCAACGGAAAGCGAACAGTTACCAGCTACATAAACGAACATTTGACCATAACAAGAATATTCACGGTTGGGTTTAATATAAGTAATCAGTGGTAAACTAGCTTGCTTTCATTGAATCACTTAGAATAAGTGGCACCTATGTTTCGGTTTAACTCGTATTCTTTTTTAATAGGTCCATGAAAAGAAACTAGTGTTTGAAGATGGATACGTCCTACTCCAGGCTTCCTTATGTGCCTAACCCATCCAATATAAGTTGTGATATAAGCACAGTACTCGTTTCGTACTAAGAATGGAGACTAATACTCTAATTTCACAGTAGCTGTACATTTTTAAAGTTTGTCAAATAACCATTTCTTCTGATACTTAAAACTTAAGAAGCTGTTTTTACAAAAGAGGCTACAATATTCATTTGCGCAGTTTGGGAATGATAACCCCAAATCACCTTTTCTCCATGTTTCAGGAAGAATAAGCAAGCGAAATAATTAGATTTGAATTATGTAGATAAGACAGCGTCCAGTCAAGTAAAGGGTATAAAAGAGTAAAATCCTGTCATTTGTCTCATATAGTATTATGCTTTCATTTTAACACTAAATAATAGAACAATCACCACTTCTAAAATATCTAAGAGCAAGTAGTCGGGCTACAGTATTTTCAGTGACTTCTGGATGTAGGAAAAATGTTAGGTTTCTTTCAGACGGATATGTTGATCTTCGAATGTTTGGTTCCAACGTACAACCTGCTATGAGTGCAACAATCTGCCGGAGAGTTAAAATGGTAAAGTTAAGGAATGACTCCATACGCATTATCTGTGTAGGTTCTGAAGTTTATATTAAACGAATAACGGAAATTTCGCTACTTCGCTAATCAGATCCTGATAGCCTGCATTTCAATGTTACTTATGAATAAGCATACAGAACACTAATCTTCAAAATACTTTCGACATTGTTGAAATATTTTTCACAATTAACTGTTATAATGAAGTAGAATGAGTATATGCAGTGCTCACTTACACTTAAGATGTTAGCTTTTAAAATTCATCATGGGTTGCATTTTTTTCGAGCCAATTCTTTTGATGTATCTGACTGATTGAAATGTAAAGACACATAGCTTCTGCATAAGGTCCTGTGTAGATCTTCCATTTATGACATTAATATATTAGTCAGACTTCTTGAAGATTTTAGCGTAACTGGGAGAAAAATGTCAGCGTTAAGTATAAATGATTAGTAAAACAAACAGATTCAGATTTCATGTTTTCCATTTGTATTAATCTTCAGATTTCTAAGATATCCGCTTCTCACTATTTCGTAGATTTCGATTCAAGTCCAAGCCGTTTTTTAGGGAAAAGTACGACAAAATTAAATTATCAACTTGCACAGAAGTATTTAGAAGTCATAAAGATATGTCTATTGGGTTCCATTGAATCACAAGAGGTAAAGCCATCATAAGGAAAGCAGTTTCCTCTACGTACTAACAACAGCCATATACGTAGTGTTTTTGGGAGTTTTCATCATATGTAGGATATGCTGGTCGCCTTTATTTTTGATATGAGTCGAATATGTACTAAAGCTGTACAGGTCTAGAAATATATTCATGAATATGTCACTAGATAGGTATGGTCGCTACTTAGATAACAAAATCTTATTAGCTATGTAGATCTTGTCTACCATCGTTATCTCGTTGAAGATCATCATACGGTTATTGAGTCGCTTATAACTTGTTCTATATTTATTTAGAGATAATTTAATTGAATAAGTCTGTATGTTATTTACTTAGTTTTAGCTTTTCGTGATTCATTGCACTTTCAAGTTTCTCCGCCTATCATACCAACTTTTGAATTTCCTCCTATTAATAATGCCGTGGACTTTTCCTGTCGGGTGAGCTTAGATGTTACAATGACTGCTCACGAATTTTCTTCAAGATTTGCATGCGTGTCTTCACTTTTATTTGTTAGGTGTTGTGCTCTGTATATGAGATTATATTGACGATTAATTATATGTGCTTGCAATCAAGCGTTCACATCTATGTTTGGTGATTTTTTTCTTCGGCCTTTTCTGTAAAATTTATTCCATAACATAATCAGGCTTTACTTATCCATTCTTTAACGGTATGATAACATGATTTTAACCATGGGGAGAAGTTTAGCAGAAATGTTTTCAAGAGTATGTATCACCTGCCCTCAATTAGGATATTTGTTGATTTGTTTTGAATACGTCTCCAATGAATGCTCTAACAGGTGTCATATATTTACTGCTATTATCATTATTGCATTTATTTGAATATAATTTGAGTGGGAGTCTAAAGGTTACTAACATTTTATTAATATTGTAACATGCATTCACCAATCAAATTTTTGTTCACATGAGTAATGCAATGTTAGTGCAACGTAATGACTACATTTCGTGATACCACTATGTTGAATTCAGGTGTAGAGTTCTGGGCAAGAAAAATTATTCAGTCGATGAAATAGTAAATCTTTATCACTTGGGCTAGCCATACCCACATGTGATCTACCTCAAAGTGATGTTAACCAAGGTGTGACTAAGTTGAAAGAGCACAGACGGTATTAAACCAATCATGGCAGTAAGTCATTATTTCTGTGTAGGGAAATAAAGGTTGCATAACCGTGATCTATGCGAACAGAAGAATTTATGTTTTTTACTAGTTGAACACGGACTGATATCACTTACAGAACCACTGAAAACCAGGGAGTACTGGACAGCTGCTGTTTCACCCTAGTTTGGGAATCATCGGCAGTACGCACCCACTGGGGTTCGAACCCACGACCTTCTGGTTACAAAGCAAGCTCTCGTACACCATTCAGCCACTGGGACCCAATTCAATGGCTCATGAATTCTAACTTCTACCAATTCGTGATTTAGCATGAACCCAACAACTGTCGTTGGTGGGACATCCATCCACACACGTGACATCTAATTGGACCTCACTGGTCACGACTTCTCACTAGAACTCAGGAAACTCCATCCTATAGCAAGTCACTAGCGGATTTATCTTTTCTTTTTTGTAGTACTACAACACTTTTTTCCTGTCTTTTACGTTCTACTTGACATATGCACAACTAAAAATGGGTGGGTCAAAAAGTGATACCAATCCCTGTAAACACTGACCGTTGGTCGTGAGCCATGTAGACCAGTGTAGGTCACTTGGCTTGGTTCGTGACCATATCATCCGTGGTTGTAGACTATGAATGTTAGGTTTCAGAATCGCCAATGAGAGTCGGAAGTATGTTATGAAACAGTTGTCATGCATCATAAAACTGTTTTAGTTTCTTTGTCAAATATTTTATATATGACTAATAGACTTGCATGTCATCATACCTTAGTGATTGAATATCAACAGAAGATGCCATCGCACTTAGTCAGCATTTGTACAAGCATTATTATTATTCATATTTAACACTCATTCATATTTTACCATTCCACTGTATATGTAAGTGAAATGTACTATTATATGGACCAAAGTTAGCTTGTAAACCACACCAATTAGGTATACTCAGATTTCCTGTCCGTAAATCACAAGTTACATGTTAGTTGTCTTATTCAGTGAACTATAATAATTGGAGGTTAATCATTTTTTGTTTCTTTTTACTGCAATGTACGTTTATACATAAGCATTCCAATTTAAACTTAACATCTTTTAGTACTTCATATCTCTTTAAACCTTTGAATACAAATATACTGTTGTTTTTGTGTGCTGATAAAATGCATTTCTTGACCAAAATGGGATAAAATCACATTCCAGGTATAATAATAGTAGTTGTTATTGTTAAAGTGATTACTGATATGTTTTGATTCCTGTTCACCGGTAAATATCGATAACCGACCAGTATGTTATGAAAACAACAGTTAGAAGTTTGTTAAGCGCGTGTATACTTGTTCATTCTTCATATTTTATACTGTTGTTTTGTTTTCAGTGTATAGTTCAGCCTATTTATCATAGAAAAAATCTTTGTGCATTGATTGACCTAAGTATGTTTACTAGGAGTTTTATTTGTATTAAAAGAAGTATATATCCTGTTATAAAGACTGAAAGTTATGCTTACTTTTTTTAAGATTGAATTATTTTTAGTTTTCTATATCATTATTATGAAACGAAATTCGTTTCTACATATTGAATGTCCATCCAAGTAGACAGCCGGAATCCGAGTTGTTTGAAATCAGTTGACTGTCCAAGCTAAGTCGTCAAACCTGGTACATCGATGATAATCTTGGCCCAAAATAAGCGAAACTCCCGTCCAGTGTTTAAGTCACTACTAGTTGGTTTATTGGTCATCAACTAATTATATCAATCAGAAACTCAACTTCTACCTCGACTGATTTTGGACCTGATTTCTTTGTTACAGAACGCCAGACTAATTGACTCGATAGTGGTGTGAGGCTTATGTTTACTCTTTGTTAAGACTCATAAATTTAGTTACAAGGCAGTTGTTCTTTTGCTACTATTGTGTTTTCTTACTCGACTCTGCACTTAAAAGTTTCATACTACGCTATGTTGGTGTAAAACGTGTTTATCTTTTGACTATAAATACAATTTGTAGCTTGGTACATAAGTTGAACAGTGGTTAATTTAAGACATACTTATCTTCATTAACAACTAGACACTACTTGTGCTCAATTTTCACAGCGCCTATTTGTATTATTTAGTTGTTATTTAATTTTACGCAACTCAGATGGAAGTATGGGCAAAGAAAAAAGAAACACGGATAAAGTAGACATTCGCTTAAAAAATGAAGATTATTGTTAATCTATCTGATTTCTGGATTTCTTTCGAAATTTCACTCATGATAAACTATTAAAAAAATCAGTGTGGATAGATGTATTTATTTACAAAATTAGAATATCCCTATATGTAATCTTATGATATAAGTCGATACTATATAAGTCAAATGTTGCAGCCATCAATAACAACTGATATAAATTGGAAAGACACTTGTACTCAGTCATTAAACTCGGTAATTGTATTTGTATGCAGTAATAGTAGTAGAAACCCTTTTGAATTGGCAAAAATACTGCGGCCAAACATAGCATGCACTTTGCATTATACGTGTATTTTCTATTCACCAAGTATTGTTTTTCAATGTTTCATAATTAGGAATATCTACATCTTATACAATGAAGTTACACTAATTTCATAGCAATGATTAAGACAATACTACGTTCAACTCCATTTATCTATTACATAGGTGTTGTTTATGTATAGGGAAATTATTTCTTTCTGGTGCTAGGCTTGCCTAAGGTCTTTTAATAATAAATAGCCCAATAGAATTTTTCTCTGTCTGTGCATTCAGAATTATACGCACTCTTAAAATTTTCAGGTGATTGGATAATACGCATAAATATATGCACAAGTATGTCAACATACCTGCCTATTCCTAGTTTCGATCGGATTTTATTTTACATATCGATTAACTAACCCAGTCTGTTTAGTTTATAACATATGTATGTTTATCGATAGTTTTGCTGCTGTTCAACCAGAAAGATGCATAATTTCGTAAATAAAATGCATGTGTCTAACAGTCGACTGTGATTTTTCCATTGTTGCCTAGTCGAACTTTGTATCAGTTTATCTTCTATTTAACATAGCGAATGCTTGGATATGCATCTTTCGTCTTTTAACAGTGAATATATAATGGGAATTCGAATGACATCCTTCTTATATACTATCGATTAATATTATTATTCCCTTGCGTTCCGAGTGGAACATTGAGCTTCAACAACGCATCTCCACTTTCTATTTTCTGCCGTCCTCCTCATATGGGTCCACGATTGACATAACTCTTCCACCTCTTCTTCAGATGATCTCCTGCATATCACCCTCGCACTGACGACCCACTCGTTGTTTTCTATTTGGATTCCACTCCATTCCTGGCGCGCGATTTCATTCGACACTTTCCTCAATGTATACTCATCTCCACTTTCTCCTACATATCTGTTGAGCTATCGGTTTTTGGCTGGTTTATTCCTACAGTTTCTTGTTACTAATTCTTTCTGGTCATTCATTTGATCTTCAGTATGGAGCGAATGCAGATGTTGATAAAAGTCTGCAACCTGTTGGAAATCCTTTTCGTGACATTAGTGCTAGTTTCTAACCCGTATAGAAAGACCGACTTGACATTAGTGTTGAAAATCCAAATCTTGTTCCTTATGTTCAGTCCAGAACGTTTTCAAACTAGTTTCAGGTTGATGAAGGCGTATCCCGTCTTTCCGACTCTGGCCAGCTTTGATATCTTCATCTGTTCCGACTATGCAGATGACATAGTCCTGTTAGGGGAGGATGCTGAAAAAATGCAGAGTCTTCTGAACACCTTGAGCAGCAATCTTCGTATGTTTGGCATGCGATTCGCCCCTACAAAATGTAAGATGCTGCTACAGGACTGGACCCCGTCAACCCCTAACTTAGTGATAGGGAGTGAAGTGATAGAACATGTTGACCACTTCACCTATTTGGGAAGTTGTATTAGCACCAACGGACTGATTGGCGATGAAATCTCAGCACGGATCCGAAAAGCTCGAGCTTCTTTCGCTGACTTACACCATCTCTGGCGTAGGCGTGACATCCGGTTATCAACCAAGGGACGTGTGTACTGCTCATCAGTTCGCTCCTGCCTTCTCTATGGCTCTGAAATATGGCCAATACGCGTTGAAGACATGAAAAGGTTGACTGCTTTCGATCATAGATGTCTGCGATCTCTGTCTTACGTTAGGTGGTTTCACAAGATAAGTAATGTTGACGTTAGGCGTAGAGTGTTGGGCAAAGAGGGAAAATCAATCGACGAGGCTATAAAGTTACATAGACTAAGATGGCTAGGTCACGTGCTGCGCATGCCTAACCACCGCCTCCCCCGACGGGCTTTGCT